AGCTCACTTATTTTAAATTACAGAAAACTGAAACGCGTTCGAGTACACAGTTGAACACTAAATCGTTAGACATGCATTTATTTGAATTGGGCTATATTTTTACCATATCCCCTTTGCATTAGAGACTTTGTATTCAAGTTTGGCATCCTAACATGTTTTTCAGGGGCTCTCGTGATCCCAGGTTCAAAACCTGACAGCGACGGAAAATGTTCTTCTCCAAAATTTCTTGTTTCACATTGTCTTCTGCTTTCTGCCCCCACCCCCACTCCTTTTTGCCCCCTCCTCTGGGCTCCTTGCCCTTTCTGCAGCCTTACTGCTGCTACTCATTGGCTCCTTCTTTCTGCTGTTTTTCAGTCACACCACTGGTCATGGGAATAAGTAAGATTTAACATCTTGCATTCTCGGATAAAGCCGAAAAAATCTCGTAGGTCCCGTGCGCAAATTGCGCAGGTTAAAGATCCCTTCGTGGTCCAAAATTGATCAGAGTAGGATTTGGCCGCCACCTGGGCAAAATTTAGATATGATTCTTACCAAACCAACAAATTTTCAATGAGTTCCTATTTTTGAACCAGGGTCTCCCTTCACAAATGCAATCAGCATAACAACTTTGTTATATGTATTCCATTCCAAACCGACACTAACTAAATGTCCATCCATTGTTTGCCTCAAAAATGGATACCACCCCAGTGCGTTGAGATCGAGTAATTGTCTTCAAACAAATATGCCGACGCGTTGAAATTGAGTGCCCCCGAACAGAAATAGCGAAGACAGAGCGATAAGTACTTTCGGTGAACAGAAGTAACCTCAACTATTAAAATGCGGTGTGTAATTCCATTTGAACTGAAATCTCTTGAGCGAGGATAGTGCAATAAGTACTTCCACGTGAACAGAAGTAAATCAAACTACAAATGTGTAGTAATAAGTACATCCAGTGAGGAGACATAATTTCAATTACAATTGTATGAACAGAAGGAACTCAAACTAAGATATTGCTATACGTACTTCCTTGTGAATAGTAGAAATCTCTTCAATTACAAAATGGGGTGAGTACTCCCACGTAAACCGAGATCATTGTATGGTCGATCAAGAAATATGAAGATCACTTAAGATGGGAGCGAGGGCCGGCCGGGGGGGGGGGGGATAACTGATCACAGAGCAGAGCAATTAGTTTAGTTTTAGTAGCCAGGGGTGGATGTCAACAGACAAGTCTATACAGGGAATCAGGCTTACTCTGCTCACTTTTCTAGCTTCAACAGCGCAAAGTGAGCTTCTACTATCAAGGCACCCCGGAAATAGCGGGTCACAAGAGTGTGACAAACATACAAAAGAAGTAGAGGAAAAATGACGATAGCAAGGATTAGGACAGAAAAAGTAGCAGTTCTCTGTTGCAGTTCAGGCACAGTTATTAGCATGACATTGATGAATTAGCCCATTTACAATTCTACTGGGAGTGGCCTAAAGACACTTCAGTCAGTAGCACTGCCCCAGGGGGTGAGCAGAGCAATGAGCACCTGAGACACTTCATTGTTTCAGGAAGCAACATCCCTGCACTCCGGACATTTCCATCGATGCTCCGTTGCTCTCTCCAAAATGTTGCTGAAGGTCTTTCCACTGATTGTGCCAGTGCACATCTGGTTGAACGTTCTTCTGTTCTTTCCTGCAAGGATGCCAGATTTTCTGCTTCCTTTTTGTATTCCCAAAAGCATCATCCTCTCCACGGCAGTACTGGCCTCTGCCTCCCTATCTTCCTCCTCAATCAGCTGGCGAGAGAGACATTTCCGGATCTCGACCCTATCTGGTTGAACAGTGTTGTCAACTGAGGTGGCCTCACCAGCAGTGGTATACTAACAAAGAATTTTGTCATTCAAAGAAACCTAGACACTTAGAAAGATGAAGTGTAAGACTAATTCTTCTTGGCCATTCATTGATTGATCCGACTTTAGACTACATTACTTTAAAAATACTTTGGGTGTCTTCTCTGGCTCAGGGGTTAACGTGCAACGACCCGCCATTGTTTGCGGTCTCTCTCTACTCTTGGGCATTTTGTTGTATTAAACTCAGTCCATACTTTGATTTCGGTCCACATATGAGGCGAAAATCTGTCTAAATTGGTTTGTTGACACCTTTTATTTTATTTTATTTTTCTCACTATCTTTCGTAACATAACAATAATTTACATTTAACAATGACTCTTTACGTTCACTTTCCGTTACAGCAGTATCTAGAGGCGATTGAAAGTCCTTTTTGAGTCTGCTATCAAAACTGTGTATTTGGCATATCTGATGTTATTAATATTTTCTATATTCACTCTGAGACCTGGATATTCTTCTATGTTAGTAATATATATTACTGTGTTAGTAATTGTACATATCAGAATTTAAACAATTCCAGGAATTAAGGGAGAAATCATATTGAACAACTTCGACATTAGACGTTAGGCAACAAAGCATATTAGACGTAATAGGGACATAAGCCAAAGTCACAGAGTGGAGCAGCATCTTACAAGGGACAAATCGGACAAAAGTGTACTCAAGATATTAAACACCCCGACTTACTGATGCAGCATTAGGAAGTACATCAAGTACAGTGAGTCACACATACACACATACACACAAACACACACACACACACACACACACACACACACACACACAAACATCCTACACACATACAAACATCCACACACAAACACACACACGCGCGCGCACACACACACACTCACACACACACACACACACACACACACACACACACACACACACACACACACACAAATCCCCCCCACACACACTCATGCACATACATAAACGCACACAAGCACTTGAATGTAAAGAAAAAAGAATACATACTAATATATTTTTTTAACCTTTAAAAAGCAACTAGTCCTATTTGTAATCTCATAAGCAAAGGGGAAGAGATTAAACAATTCCAACAGTATAAATATCTACAAAATAACATCTGATGCAAAATGTTCCACAGAAATGAAACAAAAATTGCAATGGCTAGGACTAGTTTCAATAAAAATTAGCCCAATCCTGAAAAACAGAAACGTCTGGAAAGTTCTGAAATGCTATATGGCTGAGAATGCTGGACAATCATTAAAGACAGTGAAAATTAAATAGAAGCAACAGAAATGTTGCTTTTTGGGAGACTACTAAGAAAATCATGGAAGGAAAAGAAATGAAATGAGGTAGTACTTGATGAAGCCTTTGTGGGACGCTCACTGCTTTAAACAAACGAAAAGACAAATACAGTCTTTGCGACACCTGAAAAGACATAAAGGTCTTGAACATCTAGCTCCCACTGGCAAAATTGAAGGAAAATGAGGCTGGGGTAAGCCAAGACCTACCTATTAGAGAACCTAAACAGATGAGTAAATGGAAAATATCAGGGTAATGTAGCTTTGTTAGGAACATCCGAGCAAAATAATGAATGGAGAACCATGATCGCGAATATCCGCCGCAGATCTGGCACTTGATGATGATAATGATGACAATTAACTAACGTCGGTGACAGGCTTTCGCCGCTACCATTTTTTTTTCTTTCTGTTGTCCCCTGTCTATCACGTCCATTTCTCTATTCTAAATGACCACTATGATGTTGTTGCGCTTCTTGTTTCTTAAAAGTACTGTCTTATGTCGTCGAACGCATGGTGCAGTCCAATTCATGATATTGTCCAATGTTTGATGTTGCACAATGTATAGTGTTGTTTTATGTCTGGTATTGTTCATTGTTTGATATTGTCCAATGTCTGAAATCGTTCGTTGGCTGATGTTGTCTGTCTTTATATGGTTCAATGTCTGGTATTGTCCAATGTCTGTTTTGTCTAATTTCTAATACAATGTCTGAAGTAACCCAAAGTCTGATATTGTTCAATATCTGATACCATGTCTGATGTTATTCAATGTCTCATAGAGTCCAAATGTCTGCATTTATCCGATGTCTAACCTTGCCCTATTTTCCCCCTCCAGGTGGAGGTTCGAGGCTTGAAGTGTGATAGGTTCACTAAAAACTACAAAGCCTTAGACAATAGGGATGCTCAGATCCAGCTTTATTTCACAAAGGTGAGGCCAGTTTTGTTCATGAGAACGAAATGTTTTTGCTCTGCTGCTTCTTGATTGAAAGACTGAAAAAGACTGAGAATGCCACTTTTAAGACCACTATGTGCTGCTTTAGAAGACTGAGCTGAGAATATGAATATTTCAGTTTAGATAAGCAAAGGTCAGTTTATAATACATGTTAGGATCTCAATAAGTATCCCTCTCAATTGGGTTACACTTAATAATAAGGGTGGTGTGATGGTATACAAAGTGCTTCGACATGCCAGATTTGCCCATATAATATAATATAATATAATATAATATAATATAATATAATATAATATAATATAATATATAATATAATATATAATATAATATAATATAATATAATATAATATAATATAATATAATATAATTTTTTTTAAATAAACCCTGTTCACCCTGCGTGGCTGCGGGCAAAGCACTTGTGCCCACCTATCTTGCCGCGAGCCGGGGGAAAAATCGGTCTGAACTCGACACACTAACCTTAGACGAGCATTGTGCCTTAACGAAGCTTAGTTAAGCTATCAATATGAAATTTCGCTCAGATTTACTTAAATTGTTCTTTAAATATTATTAGAAAGAAAAACAAAGGAAAGGACAGTGCAAACAATCGAATTCTTTGTCCGACAGCGACTCATCGGCACTCGATTTACTTATAGCAACTTAAAATATGGTCTAGATCTAGCTTTTCTTCGAAGTTTTCAAGTCACTAAAATCAATCTGATTGCCTTGTTTTCTTACATTTATGCCTACATTCACTTTCTTTATTCACTTTCTTTACAGCTTATGCCCAAAACAAAACCAAAAACATAGTTTATGTATTTTAACAAACACTAAAAATAGTCGTGGTACAGTTTTTGTTGTTGTTTTGTTTTGTTCGGGGGGGGGGGTTTGGGGGGGGGGGGGGTTGGGGGGATTGGGGGGGGGGTTGGAAAGGGGGGGGGGCGGGGGTTCTTTCTTCTCGTCCATGAAGATTTCAGTGTTCGCTTTCTTGCCATGATTTTCCGTGGCAAAACAGCAAAGCTAACTCGTACTTGGCGAAATACTGGATCAAAACAAGCTAGCGAAGTTTTGACAAGCTACAAGCGAGATGTTATTTCCAGTAGAAACCTGATAAGTGGTTCGGGCTCGATTTTGTGGACTGGTATTTTGATACGACTATTATCGTAGCTCAGTTGACGGAATCGCCCTGCAGCTTAAGGTATACTCGTAGCGCTAGTGCAATGGAACAGTACAATACAATTCAATACAATGCAATACAATATAATACAATACGATAAGATACGATACGATACGATACAATATGATATAACATAATATAATACCATATAATACTTACAATATATTACAGAATAGAATAGAATAGAATAGAATAGAATAGAATAGAATAGAATAGATTAGAATAGAATAGAATAGAATAGAAAAGGGTATCACTAAGATGCTCATGGCACTGATATTACACTGTTTTGATTTTTGTTTTCTCGAAAGCAAGCGGCTTTGATAGCTTTTTCTTGATGTTAACCAGTTGTTGAGTCGTATGTTCTGATTTGCCCCTTTTTCATAGAACCAGACCGCACAGAGCTTTCGTCCAAGCTCTACCCAGGATGTGCTCATCCGGAAGGTCACTGTGGACTACTACGTGAGTATAGCCATAGCAATGAGATCTAAGGGGAAAGGGAGGGGGGGACCCTCGTGGTCCAGATCTCGAGGTTACGATGTTTGCCTCTCTCAGTCAACATGTCCCGAGTTCGAATCCGGATACCGATGGAAAATGTTCTTCTCTAAAATGTTCTCCTTTCATCTTTTTTCCTGCTCTCTAACAATGTTCTGCCGTCTGCTTTCGTCTACAATGGTTGCCCCCACCCCCTCACTTCCTTTGCCCCTTCTCTGGGCTCCTTGCTCTTTTTGCAGCCTTTCTACTGCATCTCCTTGGTTTCTTCTTACTGCTGTCTTTCAGCCACACCCCTGATCTTATGGTAAGTAGAATCTACACTTAGCCTTCTTGGACAAGGGCGAAAAAATCTCGGAGGTCCTGTGTGCAAGTTGTGCACGTAAAAGATCCCTTGGTGGTCCAAAATCGATAAGAGTAGACTTCGGTCGCCACTCGGGTAAAACTCAAAATTTCCTACGAATTTAAAATGTTTGGTGTGTCCCGCACGCCCATATGACCTCATGCAGTTGCGAGCGCCGTAAAGCACGTGCCAAACAAAATGAGATATCTTGACTGAATTCATACACCTAAACATTATTGCAATCGAATTCGGAGAGACCGCGCCTACAACAATTAGTTGAATGTGTGCAAAGTTCTGACAAGAACATATCTAATGGATCCCCCCCCCCCTCTCCCCTTTTTTTTCTCCTCCAGAGAAAGAGAATAGAGGATATTTACAAGTTTACGAATGCGCCTACGGTCAATCAGAACCCGTTCGACATTCGCAGCTGCTACAACGACACCGAAAAGCGTAACTTCCGCATGGAGATGAAAGGTCAAAACTCCACTTATGTTGCTATTCTTCTTGTTGTTCATGTTATTGTTGTTGCTGCTGATGCTATTATTTAAGTTGTTGTTGACGTCGTTTCTACTGTAAGTGTGGTTATTTAGTTGCTGAGGTTGGTGCGTTTATTGCGCCCTACTAAATGCAACGTTGCCCTTTTTGATACGGTATCTATAGGAAAGTAAAATATTTACAATCAACAGAAAGTTCCATACGTCGCACAACTGGGCTCCTGGAAAGGTGGACACACACTGCGTTCTAGGAAGGACTTGCAAAATAATTTCATTCTAACCCCATCTGGAGTCTTACGTACTTGTCTTACTTGTCCACTGTGTTGGGGTCACTGCAGTCGGAACATGTCTATCTCTGCTCCCCCCCTCTCTTCAGGATCCATCCCAGAGTCTGTCTGCTTTTAGTCTCCATCATAATCTGGTTGAAGATCCGTCGAACTGGTCCACACAGATGGCTGTGTTTCCCCTCTCCTCTTTGAATCCCCTTCTCCTTCAATCTACATAGAGAGTGGGAACCGCTATCCGCCCTATTCCTCCTCAAATTTTCCTTCACAGCGGTTAGGACGGTTGGTGGGTCCAGTGTCAAATTCCCTCCCACTTTTGCTTCTCCAGCCAACTTGTCTGCTCTCTCGTTGCCGGTTACCCCCGCGTGGCCTGGGCAGAAGATCCAGGCCACTCTTTCCAGGCTGATCTATCTGATGGTAGCCTTTCAGTCCGCATACAACATCTCTTTCTGTACCTTCTGTAGTGTGCTCATTGAGTCAGTAATGATTATTGCTCGCTGATGGCTTGGGTTCTTGATCCAGTGTAGAGCATCACTTATGGCTTTTGTCTCCATACACCTACTTGATGTTGTCAGTGCAGTTGCTCCATTTTGCTCTTTCATTACTACCTGATCAACTCTGACACTGAAGGCCCAGCCCGATTTGACTCCTCTGTTGACTGATCCATCTGTGAAGATCGCAGCATCTCCATGTTCGCTATGCTCTTCTATCAGGGTTTCAATTTCAGCGTTTGTAGCTCCAAGTGGCCAGTTGCGACATTCTCTACCTAATGTTGCCTTCAGTGTTGTGTACTCTCCGAGCGCATCTTCGACCACAACCCAATACCTGTCTCTCCTGATGTCTTGTATCTGGCAGCACTCGTTGATGGTGTTCGTGACTTGAGTCATCCATTCTGTACCCCTCTTTAGCCTTGATGTCATCTGCCGTCCCCGTCCCACTTTCTTATGTAGAGGGGTTCGTTTCGTCTGCGCTGACTCGCAGAAAGTCTTGGACTTATGCCAGTTTGTGCCTCTCGTCTGCACATGGGAAGTCTAGGAGGTATCTCATTGCTTCAGTTGAAGTATCTCGTGTGCACCCCAGGATTGCTTGCCTTCATTCCTTCAGTTTGTAACACCTCGAGTCGTTGCAGTTGCTCGTTTGATAGGGTCAAGAGTCTGAGCCCGTACTCTACGACAGAGAGTACCAGTGTCTGGTAGAAGATGACAAGGATTTTCTAGCTCATCTAAGCTCAGGCCATCATCTTAAGGGCTGTTAGGCCTTTTCTCGCCCTGGAGATTGTTCTCGTGATGTGATCTTTACCAGAGAGGGTGCAATCAAACGTGATGCCCAAGTACTTCAGTGTAGGTTCCCTCTTCAGCACTTTGCCTCCAATCGAGATACTTGGCACGTCATCGTGCACTGCGTGGTTATTCAGTGTACACCACAGTGCACAGGATTTGTCTGGGTGCAGTTTCCCGTTGTACGCTTCACACCACTGTTCAAGCCTGTTGAGTTCTTCCTTTACTCTCTCCGCTGCAACCTGGCGGTTCTTGACCTGCTTGTACACCAGCACATCATCAGCAAAACTGAGTACACGTCCGGGCCCCTCCCGCTGGTTGGATGTTATCCCTATTGTATAAACGTTGAACAGAACAGGCGAGAGTGCAGATCCCTGTAGTAAGCCTGGTGTGATCTCGGTAGGTTGCGAAGCCCAGCAACCAAGACGTAGTGCTACCTTTCGTTTGAGCCGCGCTGCCCCAATCCATTGTTCTAAATGTGGATCTACCCTCAGGTTGACTAGAGTCCTCATGAGGGTGTCGTACTGAACTCGGTTGTAGGCATCTTCCTGGTCAAGTGCTGCTACCATAGTTTCTTCCCCCCATTCGAAACCATCATATACGTCGGATGCAAGAGTGGCAGCATTCATCCTTGAGATCTTTCCTCTTCTATAGCTGCCCAGTTTCGGCGGTAGGACGTTCTTTTCCTCCAGCTCTATAGCCAATCTGCATGCCACGATTAGCTCCAGCAGCTTCCCAACGGTATTTTGCATGGTCACTATGCGATATGAGGCAATCTTGCTTGGGTCCTTGTCTGGCTTAGGAACTGGGGACAGGTGACTGTCCAGCCAGTCTTCAGATATCTCCCCAGTCCACAGGCTTTCGTTTAGCCTCTCGGCTAGTGCCATTGTCTGTCCTTCCTCCATGTTCTTCATGTGGCTATACTCTGTCAGGACCAGGAGAAGTGTTGGATGCTTCTTGGATATATTTATATAACATTTCGTGTTTCACAAATTGTAGGCAGGGTTCATCTTTGTAGTCCTGTTGGTCCTGTTGAGCAGCTGTTTTCTCTTGCCTTCATCTTTCCTGTCAGTTTTTTTTTAGGTATCTCTTAAACAGAGCGCGGCCTTTTTCTTCATCAGTGCGCATCCACATATCATCCTCTCGTTGGAAATCAGGGATAGCTTGTTTGCTCTTTCTATTAGTCATGCACCTGTAGAAGTTCCTGAACTGATACAGGGCCCTGTCACTGTTCACGTCCCGGCAGAAGTTATCATATGCTAGGTCCTTGGCTTCTTTTGCTGCCTCATCGAATCTGAGACCTGCTAGCTTTTTCTCAGCTTTCAACTGCACGTTTGATCTGTCCCTCTCGTGTCTTCTCAGCGCCAGGCGTTTGATCTTCCACAACGTCTCAGTCTCTTCATTCCACCAGGGTGGCTGCTGTGCCACTACTCTATGCTGTACTCTGGGTGGCCTGGAGCTCTTTCGCAGTACACTGATGGGGTCGTTGCCTTCCGCGGGGTAGAAGAAGACTCGTTTCTGTCTTTGATGGTTGCTGTTTCTTTCTTGCTTTACAAACACTGTGCAAGGGATATAATCGCTGCTATAGTTGTGTAATACTCTCCATGTACAGTCTGTTGTTTGGTCTACCGAGACGACTGCAAGGTCTATAGCACTGTCGGAGTCCCCATCTCTTGTGGCTAGTCTGGTCATGCTGCCAGTGTTGATGCAGGTGAGGTCACATCTGTCCAGGGCATTTTCCAGTCTCGTCCCTTGGGGGTTTATCGCTGTGTTTCCCCAATCACTCCCTTGCGCGTTGAAGTCGCCTCAAAAGATTGTTTTTCCAGGTAGTGTTTCCTCCATCTCGCCAAGTTTGGCCCACCCTTCCTCAGTGACTGTCCCGTTGCAGGCGTAGACGTTGACAACATTTCTTACAGGCTGATCAGTGGGCTCCACTGCAAGCAAGTGTAAGTTTTCTGACGCCCATCGACTCATATCCACTTCCTGATATCTGATTGCTAATCGTATCAGGGGGACCTGTCCATGCCCTTCCCAGTTGTAAAGGGTCGTTGCAAAGTCGGCAACACTCAAGTTCCTGTCACCTAGTCTGGTTTCTTGGAGGCTCCGTAACATAGGGTTTCAGTCACGAGCCCTCTCTGCTGCAGACTACGACAATTCCAGTAGAGAATCCTAAGATTACTCTTTCCCAACTGCTGACTCTTTCGCTGTGTCTTTCTAGCTCCCGCTCTTCTCTTTCTCCACCTCCCACCCCATTTTCCCCGTTTCCTTTTTGGTTTTATTCCTGAAGAGGATTTCGAGCAAAGAGCACGAACACAGTAGCTCCTGCGAGAACCATGTTTAATAATATTAATTAGATATTTCATTGTGGGTTTGCAAAATACTGAGGAAGTATCCTGTCCATCTAGCAGAGCCTCTTACTAGACAAGGGGCTGGGAACCAGAAGGTCCATCGGTCTGGTGCCGCCCCGTTCGCACGCCAGACGGTCCTCGATCGTGACTGTACTCCCCACAGCCATGCAGCTTCTAGGCACGATGATGACACCGTCAGCTTGGGTCCATGTCCTCCACGGATACTAGGGGGTTCTGTCAACAGGTAGTGCTCCTGGATTCCACCCTCGACCTCCTTAGGCGTGGAGATTTTTTTATCAAGGTTGTCTCCTTTAGATCATTCGTATTCTGTTCCTGACCGCGATGTCTAGGCTTAACAGGGTCACCTCGAGAAGGGGGAACAGTTTCAGTGTGCTCCACCACCCGAGTACCCTACCTTCGGACACCCTCGGTCTCCCGGCCGACCAACAAGCACGCTCACAGATCTCTCAACACTGACTTTGAACTGACACCACTCTCAGGGTGGAAACAAAAACGTCTGTCCAATTCTAAGGTACCGCCCTACCAAATGTGGACTACTACACAGGTGGCCACATTCCGCCCCCAGCGATCATCTGGAGTCTTACGTCCATGTAAGAGATCTCATCCGAAATCGCAACCTCTTTCGTATCTTTGTCGACAGAGATGATTTCATAAGTGTCATGCTGCTTTTTAACCGTTGCCATTCTGTGTGTTTGTGTTTGTGGTTGTGGTTCTGTATATGTGTCTGTGACTTTGTGTATGTTTGTTTGCTTGTCTCACACCCTTACACCCTTCGTCCCCTTGAAACATTCACACCCACCCCTCCACGTTTACACCTCCATTCCCTCCCACAATTGCACCTTCAAACACCCACACCCTCACTCCTCCCTGCAGTCATATCATTCCATCTCCACATTATCATCTAATCCTTAAATGTCCACGCACTGTTATCCCTCTTGCCCCACCCCCTCACATTTTGACACTGTCACACACTTTCAAGCAAAAGTACAAATACACGCACTTAGTTTACACACACACAACACAACACAACAACACACACACACACACACACACACACACACACACACACACACACACACACAGCGCGCGCACACACACACACACACACACACACACACACACACACAAATACACAAACACACAAATACATGTCATTTCACCCATGCTCTTCCACACCATCACACTTTCGCACCCTCAACATCACTTCCACATCTTGTCCGCGTCATGTCACCAAATCACCACATCCTCACACCCTGACACCTCCATACGTCCACACTTTCTTGCGATATCATCCTCATACTCTTGCACTTTCTCACTTTCACATCCTCAAACCTCCCCATCATAAGTTGTTGATGGGTGCTCTGATGTGATTTGCTCCTTATTTCCTATGAAACATCTACCATCCTTATCCCAACTTCTCATCTTTCTGTGCCCCTCTCTAGACGTACTTCTAATCTTCGGCACTTGCCTGACCTCATTGTGTTGAAAGTATCGTAAAACTCTTTCTAAAAAATACCTTCGCATCTCCAGATAGCGGATATTTAGGTAGTACAAGTACACTCGGGCAAAATTTAAAATTTCCTACAACCTTAAAATGTTTAATGTGTCCCGCGCGCTTAGATGACCTACGGCAGTTGCGAGCGCCATAAAACACTTACAAAAAAAATTAAAAACATTGTGTTGAAAGTGCCGTAAAACTCTCTTTAAAATGAACCTTCCCATTTGCAGGTACCGGATACTTTACTCGTGAAAATAAGTACATGTTGGGTAGTCTACTGGCCCAAAAATTGACTGGTCTCGTGGGAATCAGCCGAGCTCGACTCCACTGGGACTCGATCGTCGAAGAAAAAGGCGTCGCAACCATCATGGGTACACTGTTAGACCGGGGTCCGGACAGAGGTAGGTCGGACAAATAGTTTTGTTTGGTGATGGACTTATCTGGTTGTCTAGCACGACTCTCTCTTTCTCTCTCTCTCTCTCTC